TCCAAAAACTCAAAAAGGGAGCCAAGCCAACGGCCAAGGACAATTAGATGTGAGAGTTTGAAAATGTCATGGCAAGAAACTGAAGTTCTTAGGCCTAATGTGTACAAGGGTTCATTTGGAAGTGCATTTAAAATGATTAAAAGTGTTTTTGGAAAAAATGTTTTTGAGTTCCAAAAGCACTTGCAGTTATGTGCTTATTCCATGAATCATTTTAAAATCACTTTTCAAATGAGCTCTAAGTTACTAGATTTTCTGGAAACTATATGCTAATCAAATTTTAACAAGCACATCTGTATGCACGTAATTGTGATTATCAAATTTGTATGCATGTAATTGTGATTATCAAATTTTTTATCATACACGTCATAATCGAAATTGTTCATTTTCACAATCATCATTCAAAGGTTATCTGTGCACTAAGATTCTTAGGACTAATGTGTACAAGGGTTCATTTGGAAGTGCATTTAAAATGATTAAAAGCGTTTTTGGGAAAAATGTTTTTGAGTTCCAAAAGCACTTGAAGTGCTTTATGGGCGAAACACCAGTTATGTGTTTATTCCATGAATCATTTTAAAATCACTTTTCAAATGAGCTCTAAGTTACTAGATTTTCTGGAAACTAGATGCTAATCAAATTTTAACCAGCACATATGTATGCACGTAATTGTGATTATCAAATTTTTATCATACACGTCATAATTGAAATTGTTCGTTTTCACAATCATCATTCAAGGGTTATATGTTCACTAAGATTCCTTACTAAACCGTGTGTATTGGACAAGGGTTGTTGTCATATAAATAAAATTTTCATGTAATGAACAGTTGTTTTAGAAGAAAATGTCATCTGTCATTAATGAAAGGAGACATGAATGGACAATACTTTCCTTATCACACTAACATGACATCATTTTAATGTACAATGACGAGAATTATAACCATTCATTCTTTTATCATCATCTAAGGATCATTTCAAGAAAAATTCATTCGATTTGAAGCCTGTTTAGTTATCTATATGTGTCGAACAAATTGACAGCTATAATAAATACAAGATGAACTGTAAATTTGTTTGATTAACGGTTTTCAAATCGAATGAATTTTTATGTAAATGATGGTAGAGAGAATGAATTGTTCCGATTGTGAGGTTTATATGATAAAGTGAATGATAAATTTCAAGATAATACTAGGAAGACCAGATTTTTAGACCAAATTTGCTAAACCATATGATGTGATTGTTAACAATCAAATTATTACAAAGCTTAAGACTAACTTGAAGAACCATAAACATGAATAGAATTGCGCTGGATGAATCATCATAACAAATTATACAACTACATCCGTCCATCTAAAAATCAAGCAAGACAAGCTATGACACTATTCAAACATATGTTCAACTTCATCGTCTTTCTGATCAACATTTCGCAACTCATTCATTATCAGAATTTCACGATTCTTTAACCATTTCACTCCCCTGAAAGCCTACAACAATCCAACACCCAAAAATACCAAATGCCTTCAAAACATCCTCGCAAAACATAATCAAACCCAAACAAACTCCAATTAAACCCTAGTTCTGACCAATCTACCTTCAAATCCAAATTTCTCCCAATCCCCAAATCCAAATCCAACAAACAATAACGCATTAGAAAGCTCAGGTTCCAACCTTAACACCCATCAAAACCTCACTAAAATCCATCAACTACAACCAAAGTTACACCCATTACAAATCCACTTAGAAACACACCCAAAAAACTCTTCTGAAAAATTCACCGCCCAAACAAAAAGCGCGTCCGTACAAAAGCAGTCAATCCCGTCCGGCTCACGCGCCAAACTCTCATCCCAACCGCAGATAACTCCTAGATCTGACGACCCACGTTTAAACACTTACAGATTTCTCGATCCGGATCGCACTGATCTCGACCAATCAGCGCTCAGCATCTCCCCCTCACTTCCTCCCCATATAAACCACCTTCTCCCCCAACCGTCAACTCACAATTCCCGTTTTCTGATTTTTCTCTATCGAAATCTGAGAAGAACGTTCTGATTCTGCTTCCGAGTTAACTGAGTCAAACCGCCGAGTCAATAACCATGACTGGAACTGTCGTCTCCACCGCCAAGGCCAAGAAGGCGAGATCGCCGCCCGCTCACCCGCCGTTTGTCGAGGTATGTGATAGGAAAATCGGTGTTTTTGTTTAATTTACGATTTTGCCCAGTGTTGTTTTTGGTTTTCGGAGGCTAATTGCGACGTTTTTTTGTGTGGCTTTCAGATGATCACGGCGGCGATTGTGTCGTTGAAGGAGAGGACCGGGTCGAGCCAGTATGCGATCACCAAGTTCGTGGAGGAGAAGCACAAGAATCTACCGCCGACCTTCAAGAAGCTTCTGCTCAACCATTTGAAGAAGCTCGTGGCTGCTGGAAAGCTCGTCAAGGTGAAGAACTCGTTCAAGTTACCTTCCGTTCGCTCCGCTGCTCCGGCGAAAGAGAAGGCAGTGGCCGCGGCGCCGAAGCCTAAGAAGTCGGCCGCGGTGGTCGCTAAGCCGAAGTCCAAAACGGCTGCGAAGCCCAAGGCGAAGGTCGCGGCCAAGCCAAAGGCGAAAGCGGTAGCTTCTAAGCCCAAGCCGGCGGCTGCGAAGCCAAAGGTGAAGGCGATTGCTGCCTTGCCCAAACCTGCTGCCAAGGCGGCGAGAACATCGACAAGGACGTCGCCGGGGAAGAAGGCCGAGGTGAAGTCCAAGGCGAAGGCGAAGAAGCCAGTGGCTCCGGCGAGGGCTGTGAGGAAGCCGAAGAGTGTGAAGTCGCCGGTGAAGAGGAAGGCTCCGGCGAGGAAGGCGAAGAAGTGAAGAGTCTTTAAGAGACTGCCGGTCTGTTACGTTTCTAGAGAGGGGTAGTTTGTGTAAATTTGTCGGGGAGTGAGGGGAGTTTCGGAATGAAAAAAACAAATCGGTTTGTTACGTTTTCGAGTGGGGGTAGTTTGTGTAAATTTGTGTGGGCAGTGAGGGTAGTTTGGGAATGAAGAAACAGCTTGTTGACACAGAATTTGTAGGGTTTTATTTTCTGATTTGTTTTTTTATTTCCAACAACCGTGGCGGTTGTTATTTGGTAACTGTTTTCTGTATTAAGAATTTAGAGGATGAATCAGATGCTTATTGATAACCAACATGCTTTGCAATTTACATCAAATAATTATATTCATATTCTAATTTTAACAACACTAATTAATGGGAATGTATTTAATTGAGATTTTGAAGAATTTTAATTTTTTTTTAATGAATCTAAGTATTCAATCAAGATTTGAAATGATTCTTTGAAATTTAACGTGTATTCAATTAAAATTTTAAAATAGTTTATTAAAATATTTAGAAATCGAGTGTACTCAATTAGGATTGTCAAGAAGTTGATAATATTTTAAGTGTATTCAATTAGAATTAGAATTTAAAGAATTTGGAAAAGTTTAGGAAATAGAGAGATTTTGTAGTGTATGTTAATCATTCACAAATCCGACATTTCTTATGAAATTTCGAAGGAATTGAATCTCTACAAATCAGTTAAATTCCATAAACATCTAGATTTTTAAATCCATTAAAATATCTCAAATTTCCAATTGAATACTCCCTTTAATACCTTTTTTGATTAAACATGAAGAAAACTCGTTAATTTTAATTTTAAAATTTTTGGCAAATAAGACAACGTGAAATGAGTGTTTTATAAACTACCTTAATTTACAGAAATTTGAACTTGTTCACAAGCGATTTTACACTTTATTTGTTGCTAGGTAGACTAAATTTGTTATTTTTTTTATTAACATGTCTATTTTATATTGGTGACACATTATTTAGTTTGTAAATTTAATTTATAAATTTAAGTGTTTATTTTATATTAGTAACACATCATTTAGTTTGTAAATTTAATTTACAAATTTAAATTACGTAGCATTATGTTTGTGGATAGAGCTTGGGTGCTAGGGAATGAGGAACGGATAATCTTGATTAACTAGTTTTATCCATATCTGCCTTATGTTAAAAAGAGTTTACAAGGCACAAAATTGGATAATTAGAGTTTAACACACATTTACAAAATTGGGTAATTGAAATTTGATACACATTTATCGGTATCAGATATACTTGTTATAAAATGAACACAGAATGTTGTATAACGGAAAACATGAACATTGAGGTAAGGCAACCATCCCTAATCTTCAAATTTTAGTCCGAACTCGTTACTAGTTCCGATTTTAGATTTTAAGTATCAAAATTTTGGGTAATTAAAGCTCTAAACTATGAGTTATAGCCTAAATACTCGACCTTATCAATAAATACAATTGAAGTTGAAGAATATTGAGTAGAAATGAGATATTCTCAAGGTTGGTCATTTTATGATTTTGCACGGGGAATTTTCGTTATCAAGTTCACCTTTCACTAGTTTTGACATTTTTTCCTTCATTTTTACAAGCATATTAATATGTTTACTTATCAAGAATGAGAGAAGCAAAATAATAAAAAAAATGATGAAAATTGGATCAACTACTACCCAAGTTGATCAAATTTCTGGTCTTAAATTGCAGATTTAAGGTGAGATCCGCGTATTTTTATATTCCCTTTGAACTAGTGAACGTGAAAAAAGTCGGAAAGTGTATTTACTCTCGTACTTATTTTTCGTAAGTAAACATGTTAAGTCGTCTCAAATAAAACAGAATGGAAAACTCATTTTTACACATAACGAGATATGTACCAGTTACCGATTTAACTCACAAAACCATATACAATTCACAATTAACAAAAACCCAAGTAAACAAGTTATTTGTCGATGAAAGTAAAACAAAAGCGGCTAAAAGCCAAAATAGTCTCTGAGATTTGCATAACACATCATTTTAGTTCCTGAGATTGAAAATCAATAGAAATTGTCCCTGAGACTGTCCACCATTCATTATTTTGGTCATTCCGTTAAAAACTCCATTAAATGTCCCGGAGTTCTTGGCCTAAAGTTTGAGTATTTTTCAAAGCTTCGTAACATAATCGAAAACTCATTTTTATACAAACGAGATATGTACCAGTTACCGGTTTAGCTTACAAAACCATATACAATTCACAACTAACACAAACCCAAGTAAACAAGTCATTTGTGGATGAAAGTAAAACAAAAGCTAATCTCTTCAGTACATCCAAATGGTAAACCTGCCAAATTCAAGACCTTCGTTTTTCCACTCGACGTTAGAAGAAGCTTTCAAGTCCATCGTGGTTCGACTCTGATGTCTGCTCCGCGGTCTTTGGAGATGTTTCGGTTGTTTCCTTTTCGTGTTTTGGATGGTCTTTGGTCTTGCAACTGCCAAGGCTGTTTCGCCTTCCAGACTGAGCCTTACATCTGGGAGCCGCGGGGGAAGTTTCTTTCTGAGTACCAAGGCTGTGACGTTGTGGCCGAGAACAGCCCTTCTTTTTTTCCTCCGCGGATGAGTTGGTGATTGCATCACCATAGCTCTTCCTCCGGCTTAGACTGTTAAATTTTGGTGACTTGGGCTGAGTGAGTGGAGCCTGAAATCATATACAAGCACAAAAAAGTTCATCTCACAGCAAAAAGGTGCAGCTAGTACAAGGAATCGCTACATTATTCGGACTAGGATTATTCCCAATGATACGGTAAATCCTAGTCCTCGAATACAGATTAATTGCTTAATCAAACACTTAATCAGGTTCCAAGTCCCGGTTCCTTAATTTTATTTTCGGTTGACGTGTGCAACATGTTTTTCTCTTTTTGGTCAATCTCAATACGTTTTAGAGCTCCAAAGTAGTCAAGCACAACTGACAAGACTTGAATTAACTACCTTCTTGCGTTCGGTCTTAGGAGGAGGGGGCTCGTAAATGAAACTGGGTACCGGATTTGCTTTGACCACCATGCTCTTCCTCAGCACCTTGATGGCTGCTTCTTGCTCTTCCTGAAAGTGTAATCAAGGAAAATGTAAAATATGAGTTTTCAAGCAGATCCCATCACATGCGGAGGAATAAACACCCAAAAGAAAACGCAGATCCGCATGACACCCATGCTTAATGGCAAGAAAATACAAGATACTACAGGGAAGTGACGCACCTTGGCTCTTGCTTCCCACTGGCTTCTCTCTGCCTCCATAGCTTGGTGCTTTTCCTCTAACTTTGAGTAGTACTAGACGAAGGGAATCGCATCAGTTACACATTAGATTGTGCAGATTAAAAGTAGTTCTCAAGTTATACAGTCACTTGTTTTGTTATAAAAGTACCTCCTTCCTTTTCTCTATACGCTCATAGATCCTAAACGTGGGAGCTTGTCCAACCGTAACCTTGAAATTAGGTGTTCTTGATGCAGCAGTTCTGTTCTTGGTTAAGGATAATGCTAATGTGATGAACAATTTCTAATATATAGGTAAAACAAATAAATTCAAATTTCAAATGTCAACCAAGGATACGAGGAAGTCATAGACCAATTATCTTCTTCATTAGCATGCTTCTTATTATCATGTTCCGCGCCCTCTTGTGACGACTGAGAAGTTGGCTGAAATGAAAACGGGGCAAAAAAATTGAAATCAGAACCATCCATCTACCATAACGCTGCAGTAGCATTTACAAGCAAAAGTCCATAATTATTCTCAGTTTGTTGATGCACTTCAAGCCGAATAAAAGGATAATTTAGCTTCCTTAACTGAAACTCATATTTGAGATGGCATTCTTCGTAAGATCATATAACCATGTAATTCAAAACCTTCTACGGAGCATGTCTCACAGCAGCAAAATTGCAAAAAACAAAAAGGTAATAACCCCAATGAGTTATATTTTTACTTGCTAGAACAAGCATAAAATCTTATACATATGCCATACCTAACCAAGCCGCCACATAAATGGTATAAAACCTCAACAAAGTTCAATATATGATAAACAAATTGACTTGAACCAGCGGATGAATCCTTTAGAGCTGTGAAAGAAAAATATAATGTTTTTACGGTTTAACCTGTGAACTCTTCAGAGACGCTGCATTTGGAGACTCTGGACTTTGAACAGGATTTGTACTCTTAACAGCCAGCACATCTTGCGTCTCCTCAGATTCCACAGCTACTTCGTTTTCTCCGACAGGGTCCTTCACCTTGGAATCCTTTGACTCAATGCTTTCTTCTGAAACTTTGGGAGCAACGCGGACCTTACCACGAGTAAAACCAATTGAAGTCACCACGACACTGTTAATCTTCTTCTCCACCACCTTCTTCTCCATTTCTCCGTTCCCCGCCTTTATACCAGTAACTTCCCTCCCCATGACGCTGCACAAGAAAGCTACAAGCTGAGCACCACCAGACTAGGAAAATTGCATTACCACATACAAACTAACAAAGCATTACTTGTTTACAAGTAAATTATTATATCTTCAAACACAATTCAAATTGACCGAAATGTGTATGACACTTATATGGATAAACAAGTCAAATTAAACCGCAACAATTTAGAGGTATATCGGATATCCCAATCCATGTTACAACACCAAACACATGTTATCCGATGACAGAATTCAAAGATACACAAAAGCGCGCACGCGGGCACATACACAAAACAGTATAAACAAAAAGCATTTCAGGTACTCCATGTTTCAGCATACTGCATAAAACATAAAATTACAAACCTGCAACTCGAAAAGTTTTTTAGGAAAAGAGTGATCCACGTTGTAGATTTTGCCTTTAAATTTGGGATCTTCCATTCGAACAGGGTGGATCACTCTTCGAATTGTACTTTGCTAATCCGAAAAAATTAAAAAATTAAAAACAAAAAATAAAAAGCATTGTACTTTGCCAATCCTAGGTGCCGGTGCCGGAGGAGAAACTCTTGCATAGGATTCCGACGGCCTTATTAGTTTACCGGTCACCGGAAACTCCTCAATTTGCCATTTTTCTTTCATAATCTCACATATGTAAAGCATTTAAACTATTATAATCACGTTGAAAAAGACATAATAGGAGACAAATTGTGTAAAATTTAAGGGACAAGACATCTAAATAATGAATTGAACCCAACAAATAACAATTAAAGTAAGAATCTTAAAAGCTAAAGTAAAAGGGGTTAGCTTAAATTTTAATGTAAAAAACAAATCAAGATGGAAATTAGAAACTTGGTTGACCAAACAAATTTGAGCAAGCCCCATGACCAACAACCACAACATAACAACAACCCCACTATGTGTGTCGGTTGTATGAATTCTAGAACGTCACTGCGCTCGATTTTGCGCCATGGCTTCCGTTAGCAACCAACCACCACAATACCATTGACAAAAACAAAGAAAGTTCTCATCTTTTTGCAATCTGAGCTAAATTAACCTTAAAATCACCCAAAAAAAGAACGAAAAAAACTCATTTCTGAGCAAAAAAAATAAAAAATAAAAAATTCAGTTTTTCAGCTAACAATGGCAAAAACAGAGAAGTACCCATGAAAGATGGAGCCTCAAAGCTCAAAAATTTGCAGAAAAAAGCACAAATCGAAAGACAAAACAAACACATTTGAGAAATCCCATGAAACACAAACACACGGGAAGACAAGCAATACCAAGAAAGAAAGAAGGTTGAGAGAGAGAGATTTCTCTTACAGTTTTTTTTTTTTTGGTCCCGATCTGGCAAGATCTCCGAACCCCTTCTTTCTCTGTCTCTCAAGAAAATGGATGTTTTCTTCTTTCTTTCCTTCTTATGATTTTCTCTTTCTTTCTCTCAGGCTGCTCGTACTATTATTGTGTTGCGCTGTTTGGCTCTATATATAGACAGGTCTTTTCCTTTCCTTCCAAATTTCCAAACGCCGTTATTTCTTGTTAATTTGTTCGTGTGAGAAGAAGGTCTAGAAGAAACACATCAACGATATCGGAATTCGATCCTATCCAGATCTAATTTGTGGGGATCTTAGAAATTCCCACGTCTTAACTATTTATTATGTATCGTGCGATCAGAAATTATTTGATTTTTTTTATTTAAAATTAAACACAAATAGTATTTGACAAAAACTGATCGCACGATGTACGATGAACGGTTAGAATGTAGGGATTCTAGGGATCCCACAAAATGGATTCGAAGATGATCCTCTTTCATCTATTTATAATATGTAAAATGATAACAATACGTGACTGTATTACGAGAACTCACCAAAATTTCTTTGGTTTTTTGGTCTTTTTATTTTTAATTATAACTTTTGTATGCTTTTTTCGTTTTCACTACAACCTAGGATTGCAGCATATCAAATATGTCGTTCATTAATATGATAACATGTGGAATGATAACACAGTGATTGTGTTTTGAGAATGCAAAATTTTTTATTTCTTTAGGATTTTTAATTTTGACGGAGTTTGGAAAATCAGCAGAGACCCTTTGGTGTGATATTATTATTATTATTATTTATTTTTTTTAAGAGAAAGAGGGTCGGTGGGAACCAAATCTGCACAGGATACATAAACATAATTGTGTTCTGCCACTCGATAAAGCATCATGTACAACATAATGTGACATTTAAATGGGATGTTCTATTTTTGGTTCTGTTTGTTGGGAATTAAATTTCAAATCCATCCATCATTTTTTTATCACTATTTTAACTTGTGTTGAGAATGAAAGATCCAATCTTTAAGATGCTCAAAGAAGAAATTTCAAATAAGGTCAGAAATTTATGGGGGTTATAGATCTGGTAATTAATTTATTAACTTACCTACTTCATAATGCAGTCCAATTGGCAATTTACTCCAAATAAGGTCCAAAAAAGAAAAAGTTTACCCAAAAAAAATTGAAATTGCAAATTTACTCCAGTTACGATTCGAAAGCTTAACTAGTTTTTTTTTTTTTCAAGAAAGATTTTTCAATGTGCTAGGAATACGGTCCAGTATATCAGCTGTCACAATTCAATTGGTTATAAACTTTAAAAAAATGCACCTCATTGTTGTATGTAGTATGATTCAAATTCGATTTTGGTGAGAATTGAATCTAAAACATCTCTCACTTACAAGTGAATAAGAATATCACTAAACTGTAGTACTAAGTGACTTGAATGCGAAGTTTAGAATGAAGTAGCTACTTGAACCACAAATTTATTTTTCTCGAAAGAGTTTATTTTATTGAGTAAGAAAAAATGATCTTCACTAATTTTCAATGCTTAATTTTTAACAGTTAATATGACACAAATAACAACGGAGAGAAACGTGGAGGCCGTAATGTGTGTGGCAAAGGAGCTTCCTTTTCCAAACGTTGAAGTTGAACGTTCCAAGGTTCAACGTTATATGCGGTTCAACGTGGAGTCTTGGTTGAAAGTGAAACAAATTCTATTTTATTTTTAATAAATTTTTTTTTTTTGTGTTTTTGTAGTTATTTTTATTAGAAAGAGATCATTTCCGAATTTTTTACTCTAAAGTTCAGAGATCAAATTATCCAAATCTTTAAAATTTGATTCAGCGGTAAAAAATTATTATAATTTTTTAAAAGCTTTTATTAACTTCTCTATTTTTAACCGTTGAATCAAATTTTAAAAGCTTAGATCACTTGATCTCTGAACTTTGAAAGAAAAGATTCGAAAATAATCTCCTTTCGTTTTTATTTACTAAATTGTGTAGTGTTATTTCTCTCTAATCAGAGTCAAGACTCTCAGACGTGACCTCATCCTCTTTTTCTCATCCGCCAAGTTGTCGGGAGATTCATAAAAAGAACCATTTCTCCTACCTCACAGTAATTGTTTTATAAGTCGCATGCGGTGGTTAGACAGCAGCAAGGGGCTTAGGCAATTTTTTAAATATTAATTATATGTACTGTATTTATAAATAAACACTGAATGATACTTATGATAGTGTTTTTTAAACGGATAGTGTAATAGTTATACATAATTTGGGAGTTTTAGGTGAAATTTTTTGTAGGATATAATTGAGAAAGAGAGAGATTGTGGAGTCTTAAAAGAGAAAGATAAGGATATTAAAACAGTAAAAAAAGAGATAATTAAAACAAAACAAAAATCAGCAAAAGAGGAATTCTCCATGTAAGCCCGTGCGCCTAGTCCCGTTTAGTCCCGTCGAAACCTGCCTAGATCTTCCTAATTCCGTCTATGCGGCCGTCTAATAAGCATTTCAATTTTGTGACCGAGAGGGAGTAATCGCGTGGCGGTGACTAGTAGCTTAGTTCCTAGGCAGTTGCTTAGACTGCATTTTAAAACACTAGTCATAGGGGTGGTTTGGTAGTGAGATGCTTAAAAAAAAAACACCCATGAAAAAAAAGTTGTGAGGGTTTTAGGTGTTTGGTAAACTGAAAAAAATGGCTTATTTTGGAAGCTGCTGTGAGAATAAGCTGAAATCAAAGGAAAAGCTGAAGCTGCTATTTGTAGCTTTGGAAAACTGGCTTTTTTTCAAAGCACACAGAGCTACAGTGCTCCTATAATAAAAAAACCCACTATCAGACTGTTTTTTTTTTTTCAAAAGCACTTTTACAAAAAAGTTTACCAAACACTTTGCTGATTTATTTCACAGTCGCTTATTCTCACAGCAGTTTTTTTTCAAAGCACAACAATACCAAACCAGCCCTATGTATTGCCCTTATGAGCACCTTTTTTTATGTTATTTTATAATAATTGGTATTTTAATTCATACTTCCATTTTTTCATACAAATGATATTAAATGAAAAGGTAGATCAATGATGAGTTTCAGAGAGCATAGTTCATTCTATCCGTTTTATTAAGTAGTTTAAAGATAAAATAGGAAGATTTTGATTCTTTCTAACCGTTGTAGTGGGGAATGGTAAAACTATAAAAGTAGTTCAATGACCAAGCCTTTTATATGTAGTACACTAGTAAATCTAGATGGTCTCACTAAAATTTTGCATGGAATTGAATGTCAGTGCACAGGAGGTTTAACTACTCGGTATTACTGCATACCAAGAAAGTATGATTTTTTTGGCAAGAGCTCATAAATATACAAATATAGGAACCCCGTGAAATATTAATTGCGAGAGCGTTATATATTTCACATGAATTTTCTGAAATCTTGGAGTTGTTTTGATGGCTTATGTACTAGCTAGTATTGTTAGACATTATGGTTCTCCGGTTTTCCCCCTTTCATAATACACTCTGCTTCGGTATATGACATGCACCGATGAATGAAACGTTGAATATACAATCAAAAGTTCAATATTCGATAATTCAATGGTCACAGATATGGGTGTATAAAATAGTTGTATGAAAAGCTGTGAACTACAGTTTCAACAAGCAACCGGTAATTTTGTTGGTGCCGTCGAGCAGAAGCCTTGGGTGATCGTGTCCACTTAAAGCAAAAAGAAAAGAGACGTGGAGTTGCTTTTTGTGCTTATGTTTAAGTTCATGTATTCATATTTCCCCACACTATGAGCTGTATGGAATTACGAATTTATCAACTTTCCTTTGTTTTTCCACCGCCCTTTTCATTTGAATTTCAAGTAAGGTTTGTTGGTCAAGGTGGTCCAAGGGTTTTTGAGGTCACAGTCTGGTTGGATAATTAACCAGATTTTGCAGATTTAAGAATAATAATATGAGTAGTCACTTACTATTACGGTTTAATTGTATTTTTTATATTTTTACGTGGGAGGTCTTATGTTTTTAATATATTGTTGTCTTAAAAAATTAAGAATTTGAGAAAAAAATTGAAAAATAATTCCATAAAATTAACTTGTTTAGTTAAAAAGACTTGGAAGAAACGTTAAATAATAAATTTCAGGAAATGCTTGCACATTGGAAGGCTTTTCACATTCTTGTTTTTTACGGTCAAGGCTTTTCAAAGAGTCAGCAGTGGCTTGGATTAGGGTTTTAGGATTCGACAGTGCATGCAGTTCCTATCTAATTCAGCTATTAATTTTCATTATTTCTGATCATGGATAATTAATATGGAATTGTCTCCCCGAAACACTTTCCGACTTTGCTTTTCAATGCTTTTGGATGTATATTGTATCCACTAATCAGAAGCATAATATTTAGGGTTTATAGTACCAGAATCTACTAGTTAAATTTTAGGGTTTTTATATGTGTGGAAGTGTGCATGCCAGAATGACACCTCAAGAATTTCAAATTTTAACCCCCAATTATTTAGGCATGTATAATTTTTGTGATAAACGATAGCATTAGTGAATTAAATAGTTAGTTGTCAAGGGGGAGGAAAATTAGTGAAAATCGCACCCATACCATTATATGTAAACATGATTATTTTCGCCAGTGCTGTATAACGTCAAATGCATAATGTTTGCATGATTATTTTCGCCATTATATGTAAACATGATTATTTTCACAAGGTTATGTGGGATGAATTTAGGGTTTCTTTTGTGAGGGCCACCAGCTTTTAACCTAAGGGGATGGAACCTTTTCAATTTATTCAAATAAAAGTTGAAATAATATGACACTGCATGCTTACAGTGGGGTGAAAGCCGAAGGGGCAATTGTTTGCATGCTTCACAGTTGCAGTATGACAGCAACAACTTACCTTCTTAGCTTGGCTCGGTACGGTTTGATTAGATTTTAGGGAGGCACAAGATTTAAAATATACAATACTATTGCGCTTTCCTTTCAATTACCCACTTTTCAACGGCTCGATAAAGTCAAAAAGCTCATTTGTTTGTATATTCCATTCGAACTTGTCTGCTTTCTATTTTAATTAAAAGCAGTTTTTGACCTACTAAACATCATTAAAACCCTAAATTTATCTAATACTGAAATCATCTTGTTCGTTTCTTTCTAAAACCGTATCTTTAGCATAATCATAATTAACGTC